AGGAAATGCCAAGTCATGATGACCCGGGCCTTAGAAGCCCCTCTCTTCCGCCTTTCGGACCCTGCTTATCTCTCTGTAAGCCTATAGGTCACTTTCCCCTGACCCTTTCTATTGGACAGTTTTCAAAACCTCTGTAGGGTATAAAAAATAATATGTGGCCAGGATACTGTGTCTTGTGAAATCTCTTCAACAGGAAGCTCAACTGGCACAGACCCTGCCTTTGGACTTTGTTGTTCATAACATTCAACCAAGACATTGGGTCCTAGTTAAGGAATGGAAAGAAGCACCACTGGTGGCAAAGTGGCATGGATCCTTTCCAAGTGTTACTGACCACAGAAACAGCCATCAAGACAGCTGAACACGGGTGGACTCATCACACTCGGATCAAGGTCTCTGAGGCCTTGGAGATTTGGACATCTCAGCTGGAAGAAAAGGACAGGAGGCCATGACTGACAGTCTGTAGGAGTGGACTGAGCTGCAGCCAGTGTGTCAACATCGGGGGAAGCCTCGTATACCTACCCACAGACTGTCTGCTGAAATAGTCTGTATGGGCATCCCTCCTTTAGAATCTCCAGTCAGTGGGGGGCTAATCTTTGCTGTCATTGTTTTCTTTATGTTTTTTCTGTGCATTCACTCGCCAAAGATGGTGTGGAAGACAGCGTGAGAATTAGATTAGGTGATTAGATTACACCACTAGAATGTTTTCCTTAATATTCTTATCTTTATATTTTCAGTTAGGTTTGGGCCAGAGGTGGGAGAATCGTCTTCTAGTCCTAGGAGAAGAAGTAGCAAAAACCTTTGACCTTAGCAATTGTTGGGTCTGTGGAGGGCCAGGAGGGTCTGAAGATTGGCCATGGGTGGCCAGCCAAGTTGAACCTAAATGGTGGATGTCCTGGTTTAGGGCAAATTTGGGGGAAAACCTCCAAAGGGGGCCCCTCAGAAAGCAAACCCACACAGCCCCTCCCCCCAACCAGTTCAGGAAGGATTCCTCAGAGAGAAGTGGAAAGAATCTGTTTATTTAACAAGCAAAGCACTCCCCAGCACACAAAATGAACAATACCGGATGACAAAACTCATTCGCCGCTCTGAAGAGATGACAATTTCAGAAAGTCTCTCCGGTGGGTGGTCACTCTATTATCAGTCCCTCCGGTGCTGGCTGCAGAGTAGGCCGTGGCAGGCTGCAAAGTACGATGTTTCCTCGGTGTTTCCCAAGGTCCTGGTCTGGAGCAGGTTTGAATGGTTCCAAGAAAAGGGAAAGAAAAACAGTCCAGGGAAAGCTTGGACTGCCTCAGCTAGCTAAACTAAATAACTCAAAAGCAAAAGGAGCGCGGTGTCCTGCCCCGTCCGTGCCCAGACAACAACAGTGGAGTTCTGTGTTCCAGCAGACTGTGGGGGAGAGTGCAGCTGATAACCAAACTCCGTGCTTCTTCTCCCCGCCTTTGCTCTCAGCCAGTCTTGAGGGCACAGAATATAATATCCAGCATAAACAGAAGACACGATTGGGGATACAAGCATCATAACATCACCCTAGGACAGTGGGTCAGCACCCTGAATGAGGTCCATGATAGAATGGGATTTTGGGATGAGGAAGCAAGTCCATGGCGACTTTATTCTTCTGAAAGAGGCATTTATTGCCTAAATAGAACAGGAGGCACATACATGGGAAAAAGTGTTTGTAACTACACTTTATCTTTGGGTTTAGATTGCTGGACCCCAGCTGCCCTCCTTACGATTGTTCCAAATATTGAGGGAGATGGAATCAAACACATGCTAAGCTCACTAATGGTAGCTGGGTAAGGTGTTCCTACCATAATTACTGAAGGGATTCTGAAGGCTGTAAAGCAGTGGGGAAGGACAGTTTTTTGGACCACTTATTTTTAAGCTGCCCCCAACATAATTCCACAAGTAGGACACATTGTCCGTGACTATCAGTGGAAGTGGCAACACCAGAATGGAACTTAAGCCCTTTTTAATAAGTTCTGGTCCAGATCTAACAAAACAGATCTGGGATGTAACTGCAAGTGGAAACCTCATGTGGGAGCTTGGAAATGCAAATATTGTGATTCTTATGGTGGGGCAACTATTGTTGGAGGACTGTTATGCTCAGGAAGCAAGATGTATTTTGACCCACCAAATAATGATGAAAATTGAGAAGGCCCCTTTGCCAACAAGACCTGGGCTTTGAAAGGGCATTATTGGATTTGTGGCCAACATGCTTATTGCAGGTTACCTCCAAACTGGTCAGGGATATGTTATGTAGGTTATATTAGACTGTTGTTCTTTTTGCTACCACAAGTTCAGGGAAATCAGTTAGGAATCATGGTATATGATGATCTAATTAGAGAAAAGCAGTCAATTGATGCAGCCCTGGCTGGAGGGAGCACCCAAAAGTGGGGAAAAGATGAATGGCCACCTGAGCAAATCATACAACACTATGGACCAGCCACTTGGAATCCAAATGAATTAATATCAGGTGCCAGAGCACCCATTTATAATTTAAATCAGATAATTAGGCTACAAGCTGTCTTTGAAATGATAATGAACCAGATATGTGCAGCTCTTGACCTTCTTGCTGACCAATCTATGCAGATGAGGTATGCAATATTTCAACATTGGATGGTATTAGAATATTAGTAGAAGAAGGAGGAATGTGTGGCAAATTAAATGACTCAAACTGCTGTTTGCAAATAGATGACAATGGAAAAGTGGTGAAAAAAATAACGAAGGGAATAAGAAAGTTAGCTCATGTACCAGTCCAAATGTGGAAAGGATGGGAATGGGACATTTTGCTGGTTATCTGGTGGGACTGTGGGTTAAATTAATGGTTTATTTTCCTCTTATGTGCTATAGCAACTCTCATATTTTTACCATGCATGATCCCTTGCTTAGTACAACTTATTCAACATGTGATCAAGGGGATGAAAGTAGTAGCTGTGCCTAATGATCCAGAAATGGCTACTAAAGGACAGAAAATTATGTTACTGCAAATAATTGCAAAATCAGAAAAGACCCAAAACCAGAAAATCAAGTCACTGATAACTAAAGTTTTTAAAGACAATTATTGAGAAAATAAGAAGAGGAGGGATTGAAAGAAATGAGAAGGAGGTGCCTTTACAAACAAACTGGGTCTGCTGGTAGATAAAGCCAGATATTGATAGGTGAAAGAAGCAAGGGGAGGAACAATAAATTCCAGAGGAATTCCACTAATTGACACAGACTGTTACTTACCCAAGGCTGTGCTAAATCCCTAGATTTAGAGAGAAAAAACAGACACAAGGAAAAAGAAAAGGGGGGGGGGGGGGGGGGATGCACATTAGAAAAGGGGGTTCAAATTAGGAGATTAGGGAAGTCTGTACCTCTCAAGTACCTCAGCCAATGGGGAAAGAGAGAGGGAAATGCGACTAGGAAGTTAAGATAAAAAGGAGGCTGCGTCCTCTAACAATTTGAGAGACCCCATGGGAATTGCCCCATCACCTCACCTTTTATTAGAATACGGTTACAGGACTCCTCTGTCTCCTTTTTGGACATAAACTTCTGGTGTTTGTGGATTAATTTTCCTGACAATTACAACTCTGAGCGCTGTAGTTTTTTTTTCAGAATTCTTTATGCAGCTTATACAACAGCCCTGTAACACACCTAATGACCTGCTGGGGTAGAGCTATGAGTTCACATTAATTTGCCGAAGTGGTCTGAATTATAAACAAAAAACTTTCCTTTGATCTAAATCTGATAGAATTTTTTAAGTGTCAAATTACCAGCAAAGGTTTCTCTGTAAAATTGCACAGAACTGAAAGACTTAATCACATTAAATAGTTGAAAGACTGTGAAGTAAACTACTCCATAAGTTAGGAAATAGCTAATTGCATCCAAATCAGGGAGAATTCCTATTGAGAAAATGCATATAGTAGTAAATAGGTACTTCCCTGAATTGGAGATTCTTCCTGCTTGACTTTATGTGCTATTATGCCAATTACATGAACAGGTCTGTGTATGTGTTGCACATTCTGTGTCCATAGAAAGCTATTTTGCCTTGCCAGAGCTGAGGCTTCAAGGGAACAGGGATAGGAACTGGGTTTGCTCTATCTGGAGGGAACAAAACTGAAAAGTGCTGAGGAACATTAGTGGGTTGTAATGGTATTCCAGATCAAAGGTGGAAAGAATTAAATCTTCCTTAATTTTCAAGCACGTGCAGTGCGCTCTGACATAGCCTGTGTTGCTGATCATTTTTACCTGATAACTCTCATCTGTGTATACAACTTGGGAAAAAGGCAGACAGATCAGAGATCAGAGAACAAGGTACTGCTGGAGCTGCTTGTGATTGTGAGAACTTTCCTAAAAAAATATGCTTCTGCAAAGTCTTGGGATTTCTATGTTGCAAACATCTTACCCCTAGGTATATCAAGAGCAGGTATGTCTACATCTTAGGCTGCTGTGTTGTTTGGACAGTTGGAAGTAGACTAGACTCAGCAGTGCAGCACATGACACTAGTTAATTTACTCTGTTTCTCAGAGCAACAAGAGAATAAATTAAATCGTATGGAGCTTCATTAATTAAGTACCTAAACTAGCTTGGAATTTCTGCACTGTCTGCAAACCCAGTTTAGAAACTGGTCACTTCAGGATACAGCCTTTAGCCTCCCAAATTCTCAGGATGGGACACAGTCTGGGGCACTATTGCAACTGAGTGTCACTGTGATGCACACCATTCCTCCAGTAGATCAATATTCTATATAGCAAGTATGGCAGATGCTATTTTGGCCAAAGGCAGAAACATGTGATTCTAAAGTTAAAAGCATGAATCTTTATAGCCTGGGATCAAGTTGAAAACGGCCAAATTCCCACTTCTGTGTACTGGGACAAAAAATAAACACTAAAAATGGAATAGATATTACATTGTATGTAAAACACCTCAACTTCTAGATACACAATCCACTGCAAAGTAAATTTCACTTTATTTAACACACAGCAGGCAATCAACAACAGCAAGGTTTGTAGGCTTTGACATTTTGTTTTCTGCTTCAGACACTTAGGATGCAAGGTGTTAGCATAACTACTCCACACCAGCACTTAGGAAGGGGCTCAATACGGAGTGAAGAGCAAGCCACAAACCAGGGTATTAATTGGCTGCAGAGTAATGTTTCCGCACAGTATTCCCGGCCCCGGAACAGGACTGTAAGTCGCAGTAGTCACAGACAAGCTGATTCAGACAGGCGCGGCATGGTGCCCAAACCAGGGGACGTCCGAGGTACCTTGGCTCCAGCCGGCCTCAGAGCCCCAGCGACTCCCGCTCACCTCGCCCCGTGACGGGCAACTTCTGCTGGCCGAGGCTTCCCCGGGCGGGCGGCGAGGCGAGGACAGTAGCGGGGGCCGCGCCCCTCAAGCCTAAGCTCCGCGGCGGGCGTCCAGCGCCCTGTCCAGGCCGGGCAGGCAGAGTGCCTTCGCTAGCCAGGGAGGGAGGCCGCGGCGCCGCTGGAGGCGGGGTCCCGACACTACCTCCTCCGCCCCAGTTAAGTCCTGCCGATCTCTCCGTTTACTTCACTCTCTGGCTATCTCCGGCTAGAACTCGGCGGCTGCCATTGGCTTGGCGGCCTCATCCGGGCACTCGGCGCAACGCTATTGCTCAGCTCGATCGTCCCAATATGGCGGAGGTGAGTCGGGGAAAGTGGGTTGGGGTGTTGGAATTTGGCTGGTTCCCTGCGGGGTCCCGCTGCTGGCGGGCCTTCTTCACCCGCCTCACCATACCCTTAAGGCGCTTCTGGGACGGCTCGGTGACGCGGGGTGGCCAGCGAGGCGATTTGCAACGCCTGGGCACTGGGAGCCTGCGCGACTAGGCCGCACGGCGGGTGCCGCGCAGCGTGGGTCCCGAGTTCGCCGCCCGCGGGCGGCCGACAAGCCGTGGCCAGGAACGCGGTCGCCGCACCGAGCCACGGAGGGCGCGGAACGGGCCAGTGGCGGCGCCGCCGCAACGCGGACGGTGGAGAAACCCTCGGCGGGAGGGAGGAGAAGCGAGCCCTGGCCTGGCAGCGGGGAAGAGGCTGCTGGTCCGGCTCTCTCTGCCTGCCACTGTCATGTCAGGCGAGGCTCCTTGGGGGGCTTTTGCTAGGGGAGGAGGAAAAAAGGAGAGCGATATGCAGGGAACGAGCGAGAGAAGGAGGGATAGGAGAGGGTGAACACGATGGAGGGGCGAGTAGGGCGGGGGCTGGCGGGGAAAGGGAGCAGGTCCGGAGAGGAGGGGATGGGAGGAAGCATGAAATGGAGACTCCCTACCTGCTGCTGGGTTGGATGGAGCCCGTGTCTCACCTCACTCTTTTCTCTCCCTGCAGGCTTCCTTTGGGAGTTCGAGCCCAGGTTCGTCTTTGCCCACCTTCTGCCCCAGTACCTAGCCTGCTGCCTGCATGCTGCTCTCTCCCTCCTCCTTCCCGAACTTACCTTCTGTTGCCTCATAGCTCTCCTAATACTTCATGTTCATGTAACTGCCTGCCTGATTTTTAAGAGAAAGTGTGCTCTGGGGAGTTCTTCCCTTACCTCTGGTCACAGTTAGAAATTGGCTGCTCAGAACCCAAAATGAAAATAAAGTTTTGTAGTATTTTCAAGACAGCATCTCAGTAAAGCCATGTAATCTGGAGAGAGATCACTTCTGCTGCTGCTAACTGCAGGGTTGTGTAAATTTTTGATTTCTTGATAATATCAGAAAACATTTTAAATCACAATGATATGTAATTGTTAAGGTTTTAACTACTGTTAAGGTTCTTTGGAATATTTACACAAGGAAGCCTATTTAACATCAGCAGGGCTACTCCTGAAAAATATTTGGGGAATGCATTTGCTTCTGTGTGCCTGCTCTTGGCACTGGCTGAGCTCTAGTATGTAAGAACTAGAAGGGGAAACCAGAGGTGAAAGAGAAATATCCTAGTCTGGATTTTTCCTCCATCATGAAAGTCTTAAGAAAGTGAACACTGAAAAACAAAACAACCCTGCATTTCAGTAATTTTCATTGTAGAACACTGACATTGCTGTACAGAATATTTGCATCTTAAAAACTTGTTGAATATCATTCTTTCTAACAAATACACTCAAAATAACAATAGTACTTTTTTATGACTTATGAGTATCCCCTTGGGTAATGAAAAAGTGTCTGTTGGACCACAGAGCTGTCATAATGACTTGTTAATTACTGTGATCCATTAGAAATGTTTTGTTATTTCTGGTATATTTCCCTCTATATTTCTTGAAACTGCTATGTTTGTTCTTCTTTTTTAGATCAATTACTAAGAATTAAATTAGTTTTAATAAAAGATCTAATCTGTGAGACTAATCTGAAGTGAGTCTTGCTGCTTATTTTGCTGTTGTTAGGAAACTGGTTTGCAACCTAAGTTAGCTGTTAATCAGTGAGAAGCTATGCTCGTTACCATAAAAATAATATAAATAGAATCTGAGTCTATAAATCAGTGTCTTGCAGCACCTGAAATCTTGTGACATGTGGATGTTATACTTTAATGATTATTTCCAGGATCTTTAAAACAATCTTTTATTCAGTAAAATATTAATTTGTTATTGTACTTTCTGAAACTTTGTTTCAGTAGTTTAGATACTTTTCCCAAGTACTATGCTGCAAGAGAGAAAACTGCACCTATTACAATACAAAAAGGGAAGGCCAGCTAAAATAGTTGAATTTATCAGGTGGTTAAGAATTTGTTCCATTTATTCAATTGAGAGTTCTATGTATGTAAAGACTCATGCAACCTTTTTTTTTTTTTCTGTGTTGTAATTTCATATGTTGGTATAAAAAAAAAATTACTCAAATTAGGGTTTTTTGATAGTTGGCTCTTTATCCTCTGAGGATCATGACTTTGACCCTTCTGCTGAAATGCTGGTACATGATTATGATGATGAACGAACTCTTGATGAAGAGGAGGAAATGATGGAAGAAAACAAAAATTTCAGCTCTGAAATTGAAGATTTAGAAAAGGTAAGAGTGACTTGCTCTCTCCTAAATGTCCATATATGTTGTAGCTTTTTAGTGAAGACAACACTCAACCTGTTCTTTAGTTTGTATAGCATAATGCAATTTTCTGCAAAATACCTTTGGAGTTGTTTGTTTTTTTTTAAAGAAAAAAGTATTGTGTTTGGTTAGGACATAGCAGTGCTTCCTCACAAAAAGGCTGACCTTAGCTTCTCAAAGTTATTAGTGTTAAGTTCAGATTAGTCTTTTTCATTTAATAACTTTTTCACTTTGGAAAAGAAATTACTGAAGCATATTTTAAAGTCTTATTATCTAACATCACTTGTCACTTCTAAGTTTTGTAAGTTGGAAATAAGTTTCAATTGTACATTAAGTGACAGCTAGCTGTGTTTCATTCTGTTGGTCAGATTTTGGTTTTCCAATCTGGAAACGCAGTCCTGTTTTACACATTTTTCACATTCATTTGCTACATAAATTGTAGTTCTGTATCTCAGTTTCATCAGTTTGGCATTTGCTGGATGTACTAAATAAAGAGTGTGCTCCTTGGCTTTTCCTATTCCTTTTTACATTCTTTAATTACATGTTTTTTCTGTTTCTACCTCTTGTTCATCTGTGTCAGTGCATCACCCATTTTATATACCTGCTGAATGCTAAATAGCTACAAACTGATGCTGCTTGCATTACCATTCAGTGACCCACTTGCACCACTCAGCATAACTGCAGATTTTGATCAACAGATTTCCAGGGAAGTATAATTTTTAGCATTAAATAGGAGGCTGTGCTTTTGTAGTCCATTTAAAAACAAATTTGCTTACCTTCTGGGGTTTTTGTTTGTTTTGGTTTTGCCTTGCTACCTTTTACAGTTATATTTTTGCTAATTATGAGCTTGCAATTATAATAGCAAAGCAGCTTGCCAAGTCTGGTGGTTAAAATGGAGTTGGTACTCTGAAAAATGATCTTATTGCTTCTATAAAAGAAGGAAAAAGAACCGAGAGCCACTCATCTTAAATACTTTAGTACTTTATGTCCCAATCCTGGAAAGACTTGGACGTGAATTTGCATTTACCCATTGTGAAAAGTCTTTGCAGGACTAAAACCTTAGTTGATTAAAGAAAACAAGTAGCTTAATCAGTGTATAAGTTCAACAATAAATTTTTAAAGGTAATATAATTTTTAAAGGTACAAATTATTGGAAAATATTTCTAATTATTTGATAACTTGAATCAGGTAACTAAAGAAAATTTCCACAGTTTGTTTTATTAAATGTGTTAGGATACAAGTATGATGATATTTAGTAAAATAGTTTGATCAAAAGCTGTTGGAAAAAAGCAGTTCTAAAGTAAGCCTTTCTCTTGATTTTTGCTTCTGTATCATTAGCTGTTTTTCTCCTATTATTTTCTGTACTGGTCTTGTCTGGGAGAGTTAATTTTCTTCCTAGTACTTAGCATGGGGCTATGCTTTGTATTTGTGCTTAAACAGTGTTGATAACACTGATGTAGTTATTGCGGAACAAAGCTTATACGGAGCCAAGGCCTTTTCTGCTTCTCACACTGCCCTGCTGCTCAGGGACTGGCTGGGCATTGGTCAGTTCATGGTGAGCAATTGTTTTCGTTTGGATAACTTGTGTTTCTTGGGTTTTACTTCCCCCCTCTTTATTTTTTCTTTTCCTTACAATTTTAAAAAATTATTATGTCTTTTTAAACATTAAACTGTCTTTATTTTAACACACAAGTTTCTTTTTACTCATCCAATTCTCTTCCCCCCATCCCATGGGGGGGGAGGGAGGGAGCGGCTCTGTGGTGTTTAGTTGCCATCCAAGGTTAAGACACAACAGGGCACAAATGGTTTGAGTTAACAGATTTGACCATAACATTAGGAAGAATTTACATCTGTTAACATTTGCTGGTCATGATATTGATTTATCTATTCTTGACATTAGCTGATCTGATCTATGCCATGCTCTCTTTTTTTTGCTGTACATGTTCAAGATTGGTGTTGGATTTTGCAGTTTGCTAATGCTCTGTAGTGCTTAGTGATGTTTTGCCTGCAAGATTTATTATTAAAACACTGGCCTTGAGCTTAATCTGGTATTTGGGCTCTGTACTGAAGATTAATGTACTTCAGGTACCATCTCATGGAGACAATTAACAATTATACTTCTTCCTCTGAGAGATTTTTTTTGTCAAGGTAATACAGAATGGCACCTTCACCACCACCTTTTGTCATGTTTTCTCCCTTGTTACAATAACTCTTCAGTATCTTGAACATCCTTGGGTAGTCTAAATGCTTCTATTTGTATTTCTTAGGAATATTACTTCAGCTTTTCATGAGGTTAACAAGCTATTTAGGAATATGACCCAGGCCCTGCAGCAGTGTGGTTATGGGTGGCAAGGCATGTATATGAGAGAATATGGACAGGTGTCTAGAAAGGTTTACACCTCCAATGGTCTGTAACTTCACTCCTGAACAAGTGCGGAATCCTGATGAAGTGATAGAATATACGGGGGAAAGAAAAAGATCCCCTGGCTATTCCAAAGAGGCAGAAACAATGGAAGCAGAAGTCAACTTGTTTAGTAAGAGATGAAGAGGCTTCTCCTAACAGGGAGCAGGAGAGCAAATCAGAAGAGGCAGCCTCAAAAAGAAATATTAGCAGTATATGAAGGAGTTAAAGCCACTTCAGAAGTAGTTGGTACTGAAGCACAGCTCCTTTTGGCACCTCGATTTCCTGTGTTGGGCTGGATGTTCAAAGGCAGGGTCCCCTCTACACATCATGCAACTGATGCTATGTGGAGTAAGTGGGTTGCACTGATCATACAATGGGTTTGAATGAGAAACCCCAACCGCCCAGGAATTCTGAAAGTGATTGTGAACTGGTCAAAACTTCAGTGTTGGCAAAGGAGGTGACTCAGGCTCAAGAGTCCCCACTATATAATAAACTACCAGAAAATGAAAAGCAATATGCCCTGTTTACAGATGGATCCTGTCATATTGTAGGAAAACATCACAGTTGGAAAGCTGCCATGTGGAGTCCTACATGACAAGTTGTGGAAACTGCTGAAGGCGAAGGTGAATCGAGTCAGTTTGCAGAGGTGAAAGCCATCCAGCTGGCTACAAATATTGCTGAACAAGAAAAATGGTCAATACTTTTATCTCTGCACTGACTCAGGGATGGTGGCAAATGCCCTGTGGGGGTGGTTGCAACGATGGAAGCAGGATAACTGGCAGTGCAGATATAAACCCATCTGGGCTGCTGCATTGTGGCAAGATATTGCTGCTTGGGCAGAGAACCTGGTTGTGAAGGTATGTCACGTAGATGCTCATGTACTCAAGAGTCAGGCCGCTGAAGAACATTGAAACAATAAGGATCAGGCTGCTGGGATTGAAGTGGCTTAGGTGGATCTGGACTGGGAACAGAAGGGTGACCACAAATATTGCTGAACAAGAAAAATGGTCAATACTTTTATCTCTGCACTGACTCAGGGATGGTGGCAAATGCCCTGTGGGGGTGGTTGCAACGATGGAAGCAGGATAACTGGCAGTGCAGATATAAACCCATCTGGGCTGCTGCATTGTGGCAAGATATTGCTGCTTGGGCAGAGAACCTGGTTGTGAAGGTATGTCACGTAGATGCTCATGTACTCAAGAGTCAGGCCGCTGAAGAACATTGAAACAATAAGGATCAGGCTGCTGGGATTGAAGTGGCTTAGGTGGATCTGGACTGGGAACAGAAGGGTGACCTATTTATAGCTTGATGGGCCCATGGCACATCAGGATATATATAGGAAGGGATGCAGCATACAAATGGGCTCATGATTGAGAGGTCAACTTGACTTGATGCCACTGCACAGGTTATTCATGAATGTTAAATGTATGCCATGATCAAACAAGCCAAGTGGCTGAATGGTGGTAGGAAGCCACACTAGCTGGGCATCAGTTGGTTGGTGGTAAGCAATTGTTTTCATTTGGATTATTTGTCTTTCTTGAGTTTTATATACCTCTTTCTTTGTCTTGTTGTGGTTCTTTTTTCTCCTATTTTCCTTGCATTAAAAAAAAAAGTTTATTTTTAATGATTAGACTGTCTTTATCTCAACTCATGAGTTTCTTTCTCACTTTTACCATTTCATTTCTCATCTCCATCCCGCTGGGGAGGAGTGAGTGAGCAGCTGTGTGGTACTTAGTTGCTGCTTGGGGTTAAACTACACCACCTTCTCTATAGTAATTATAAAATGTATTGTGCAGAAGATGGAAAGGAGGGATAAAAGATTGCTACATTGGTTTCTTTCTGTGGTGTTTTGCACACTTGCAGCTGTAACAGTATAGGACTAAAGTTTTCAGGTTTTTCTGCATTTCTTGTAAGGGGATTGTTAATGTTTCTAGTCTATCTTCTGTCTTGAAGAAATATAGGCAAATCATATTCTACAGTGTGAATCAGATAAGGAGCAAATTTTTTAATAATTACTCTTTAGTTTCATCTACTAAATGGTTTTCTTCAATAGTTTAATGTGACTTCATTATATGCCAAGAGACACAGTTATGAATTATTTCAGTGTCATGCCTGAAAATATTTTAGATCTTTAATCAAGATTCCTGCTTTCAATTAAATTTTTCGTGTTTGTTTTTTACTTTTGTTTTTCAAAATATGTCTTATCCTTTTAGGCCTGAACTGTTTACAAGTATTTGGCAATGTGTTGAAATGTTTGTAAATCTTCTTGTATTAGGAAGGAAACATGCCATTGGAAGATTTGCTGGCATTTTATGGCTATGAACCCACAATTCCAGTTATGGCTGGTTCCAGTGTGGATAGCTCTCCAAGTGAACTTGCAGATGAGCTTCCAGATATGACTCTGGATAAAGTAAGTCAGAACTGTTTTCCCCTGTATTATGGTTTAAAAGTAGAAATCCGTGTGACCTTAACTTAGATTTCACTGTCTCTTGATGTTACAAAATAGATATCTTTGTCAATTTCAACATACAAGTAAGAGTTACTGTACTAGTGGTGGACTTGGCAGTGTTAGGTTTATGGTTGGACTCAATGACCTTAAAGGTCTTTTCCAACCTAAATGATTCTGTGATTGTACTTTTAATTCTTTTTCAAAGATATTTAGGATCTGGATTTAATTATAATTATCCCACAAATGCATAGCAACTTTAGTGGCATTATATTATTACAATTGAGAAATTGATAAGGTAGTGGTTCTTCTAAAACACATTCAGAGAACTTTAAATAGATTTCTTTTTTTTTAATTTATTTTATAGAAGTGGGGTTTTTTTTCTGAAAAGTTCTGTATTTTATTTTAATGTATGCAATGTCCAGAAATAATAATTCTGGCTTCAAACATACATGTCATGTATCAACCCTTTGTGGATAACTTGAAAAGTGCACTAGTGGGTGCTTTGGAATGTTTCTTTCAAATGCATATAATTTATAAAAATCTCATCTTTGGGAGGTGAGAGAGATTGTTTTCTGTGCAATTACTATATGTATCGCATTGTTGAATATAGAAACACAAAACTACAGTTTTTATGATTCACAGGTTAACTTTGAATTCTGAGATGAATCTGATTGTTGGCTATAAGGCATGCAGCTAGTAGTTTGTATTATAAAATCTGTAGGTAGTAAGTACATGTCTTTTTTTTTTTTTTTTT